AGACTGCCTTGGTCAAATATAGAGTGTTTGGTTTCCATCTGTGAGAACAGTAATAAAATCTGCATACAAATGGTTAACATATTCAAAAGGATTCAAGTTCCTGCCAAGTCGGGGTGGGGGGGGGGTGCCGCGGGGGATGTAGTGGTAAGTGAGGGAGACAGACATTATATCAGGAACAAATATCTAGACACCAACTCTGACCAGTTATGGAGGAAAACCTCAGGGTGCCATGTTGGAGAATGGAAGGTCCAGTTTCAGTAAGGTGATCAGGGAAGACCTTCTCAAGTGACAATTAAGCAGACGTTTAGAGATCAAAAAGGATTCAGCCATGCTAGAAGGGCAGAAAAGGCACTGCAGGCAGAGCAGAAGCAAAGTTAAAAAATTTTTTTTTAAAAAGTCTGTTCTTTGAGGAGGAATTAGTTATTTGGGGATGAGGATCATTGTACATGGCCATCCACACATTGTTCCCAATCAGTGAGATGACTGCCCAGGATCGGGAATGCAGACTGTGATTAATAGGCAGGACTTAGCAGCAAATCCTTTGTGTATTTCTTTATGGGGCTTTCATTTCTATCTTTGCCACCAGCCATGAGCTGGGGACCCAGGTAGAGAAATTCTGTATGTTCCTTCCCCCCTTCCCTTAGCTCGGAGCATGAATGAATGGGTCATACTGGCTCTGGCTAATCAGTAGCATTAAAAATCCTTTGTTAACGTGTTCCTCCATGGTCTGTGATTGCTAGGAATTTTGCTTCTGGACATTTTAATTACAATTTTAGCTTTTCTTTCTCATGTGGAATGAATAATTCAGAGGGCTAGTAATGGGATTGTTTTGGGGTGTGGATTTTAAATGAGTGCTTCATATCCTAAAATAATATGACTCAGGTATTTCAGGTTCACACTTTAACATTGTCAGGCATATCACAAAGGGCGGGGGAGGGTCTTGGGGGGTACAGAGCAAAACTGCTAAGCAACCAGGATGGCTTTTGAAGATAAATATAGCCTGCTAGACAATAAAACAAAAATATAAGTTTATAAATTTCTGAGGGTGAAGAGTAGAGAAGATATATTACCAAATGACTGAAAGGCTCAAGCTTCAGAAGAGCTAAATGTTGGATTGTGCCGCCCACTGCTGGGTTCTCGCTGCCTAGAATGGTGCCTAGCACAGAGCGGGGCCCTGGGACTGTTTGTTGAGTGAACAAACAGAGAGACCCCTGAGCCAGGTAGGAGTACAAAGATGTGTTTTATACACCCTTTTAAAATACACTTGAATTGCAAATGGTGGATTTTGAGTTTGTTTTTGTTATTTTCAACAAATGGTGAATTTATAAGATTGTGACAGGGGAAACTTGAAAGTTTTCATATTCCTAACAAATGGTTGGGAGGATCATGGAGATTTAAGATTGGTTATGTCTCATACATCTTTCCTACGTGTATGGCCTTGGGCAAGTTATTCGTTCTTTCTGTATCTGTTTCCTCATCTATAAAATGGGAATATTAGTAGAACCTACTTGATGGGATTATTGTGAGAATTAAATCAGTTTATATGTGTAAAGTACTTGAAACAGTACCAGGTACTTAGCAAGCCCTGTTGTCACCATCATCGTCATCATTAAGGTAACATGTTTGAGAGGTAACCTCTCAGGAACTCTCATGTGATAACCAGAAATGTAAAATTGATTAAAAACTTTAAAAATTTTCTGTGATATGTGTATTTAGATTTTTGTTTGTTTTTCACAATAGCTTTAATAAGATATAATTCACATACTATAAAATTCACCATTTTAAAGTGTGTAATTCAATGGTTGTTAGTATATTCACAAAGTTGTGTAACCATCATCACTACCTAATTTTAGAATATTTTACCACTCCAAAAAGAATCATAGAACATTTTATTCCCTCCCTCCCTCCCTCTCTTCCTTCCTTCCTCTTTCTGCCTCTCTCTTTTTCTTTTTCTTTTTTTTTTTTTGGCTTCTCACCCACATGGGGCTCAAACTCACAACCTTGAGATCAAGAGTCCTGTGCTCTACAGACTGAACTGCCAAGTGACTGAGAATTTTAGAACATTTTCATCACCCTCATACCCACTACAATCTCTCCTCCTTCTTCTCTCTTCCTAGCTCTTGGCAACCACTAATCTTAGTCTGTCCTCATACATTTGTCTGTTCTGACCATTTCATGTATGTGGAATCACACAATGCATGGCCATTGTGTATAGCTTCCTGAACTTAGCTTAATGTTTTCAAGGCTCATCCACATTATAGCAGATATTAGTACTCCATTCCTTTTGTGGGTAAATAATATTCATTGTATGGATATACCACATTTTGTTTATCCATTCATTATCACAGCATTTGGATGCATATGAATTGTACCTGGGCTATTAAGAATAATGCCTCCATGACATTCATAAACAAGTTTTGTTATGTCTGCGGTATATACCAAGGAATGGAATTGCTAGGTCTTTTGGTAATTCTATATTTAACATTTCAAGGAACTACCCAAACTACTTTCCAAAGTGGTTGCACTGTTATACAGTTGCACTAATGACTATATTGAGGGTTCCAATTTCTCTACATCTTCACCAACATTTCTTAGATTCTTTCTTGTTTTAGTCATCCTAGTGGGTATGAAGTGGTATCTCATTGTGGCTTTGATTTGCATTTCTCTGATGGCTAATGATGTTGAGCATCTTTTTTATGAGCTTATTGACCATTTGTGTATCTTCGGAGAAACACCTATTCAGATCCTTTGACCATTTTTCTTTTTATATTTGAGTTGTAAGAGTTCATATGTTCTTTATATGTTCATCGGCAAGTCTCTTATCAAATAAATGATTTGCAAATGTTCTATTCTGTGGAGTTTTTTTTTTTTCCCAGTTTCTTGATGGTATCTTTTGAGCATGGAAGTGTTTAATTTTGAGAAAGTCCAATTTATTTATTTATTTAGTCAGTTATTTGTACTTTTGGTGTTGTGTCTAAAAAGCCTGTGTCTGTCCAAAGTCAGGAAAATTTACTTGTATGTTTTCTTCTAAGAGTTTTATAGTTTTAGTTCTTATATTTAAGTCTATGATCCATATTGAGGTAATTTTGTATATGGTGTGAGGTAAGGGTCCAAATCCATTCTTTTGAACGTAGACATCTACTTTTTCCAGCATCATTTGTGAAAAACACTATTCTTTCCCCATTAAATTATCTTGGTGACCTTATTCAAAAACAAACTGACCATAAGTGGAAGGACTTACTTTTGGACTTTCAATTCTGTTGCATTGATCTGTGTGTTTGTCTTTATGCCCATTGCCATACTGTCTTCACTACTGTAGTTTTGTAGTAAATTTTGAAATTGGGAAGTGTGAGTCTTCTAACTTTTTTCTTCAATGCTATTTTGGCTATTCTGGGTTCCTTGCATTTCCTTATGAATTTTAAGATCAGCTTGTCAATTTCTGCAAACAAGGCAGCTAAGATTTTGATAGGAATTATATCTGTACATATCAATTTGAGGAGTAGTATTGCCATCTTAACAGTATAAAGTGTTCCAGTTGGTCTGTGAACTTGTCACAGGTGTGTATGCTTTTCCATTTATTTAGATCTTTAATTTCTTTCAGTGATTTTGCAGTTTTCAGTGTACCAGTCTTACACTTCTTTTGTTAAATTTATCCTAAGTATCTTATTTCTTTTGATGCTATTGTAAATGGGGTTAGTTTTTAAAATTTTATTTTCGATTGTTCATTACCATATGTTTGGACAGTTGTTTTGTTTTGTTTTTTATTTTACTGTAGTAAAATATAGACAACATAAAATTTACCCTTTTAACTACTTTTAAGTGTACAGTTTACTGGCAATAAGTATTCACGATGTTGTGTAATCATCACCACTATCTATTTTGAGAACTTTTTCACCATTCCAAACAGAAACTCTGTACCCATCAAGCAATAACTCCACCCTCCCCGACCCTCCTGCCCATAGTAACTTTACTGTTTCTGTCTTTGTGAATTTGCATGTTTTTCAGACCTCATATTAGTAGACTCATACACTATTTTCCTTTGAGTTTGGCTTATTTCACTTAGCATTGTATTTTCAGGGTTCATCCTATTGTAGCATGTATCAGAATTCCAGTCATTCTGGTGGCTAAATAATGTTCTATTGGATGTATATACCACATTTTGTTTATATATTTATCGGCTGATGGATACTCATATTGTTTCCACCTTTTGGCTATTGTGAATAAAACTTCTATGAACAGTGGTGTACAAGTACCTAAGTCCCTGCTTTCAGTTCTTTTGGATTTATACTTAGGAGTGGAATAATTGTTAGATCATATGGTAATTCTATGTTTAACTTTTGTGGAACAGCCCAACTGTTTCCTACAGCAGCTGCACCATTTTATATTCCTACCAGCAGTTGCATGCAGGTTCTGATTTCTCCACATCCTCACCAATACTTGTTATTTTTTATTTTTGTAAAAGTAATTGTCATCTTGGTATGGTATTTGTTTTTAATTAAGAATTGGACTGGGGCGCCTGAGTGGCTCAGTCGCTTAAGCGTCCAACTTCAGCTCAGGTCATGATCCCGCTGTTTGTGGTTTCAAGCCCCACATCGGGCTCTGTGCTGACAGCTCAGAGCCTGGAGCCTGCTTCAGATTCTGTGTCTCCCCTTCTCTGCTCCTCCCCTGTTCATGCTCTGTCTCTCTCTGTTTCTCAATAATAAATAAATGTTAAAAAATTAAAAAAAAAACTGGACTGCATCTAACAGTCTTTTTAGTGTTAGAATGCCTCATCTTTCAGAAAGATAAATACAAAGTGTATTTCATTAAAATATCAAGGAAAATAGTGAATTTTCTCTATTCATTGTCAGCTTTATTTTCTCCCTGCAGAGTCATTTCTTTAATACTGTAGTTGAGGATAAACAATGAAATGAAAGCTGGGTATTTAGAAGAGGACTATTGGAAACTCCTTTTAAGGTTTGGAAAATATAACTCTTCTTGTCTTTTCTATGATGTCAAAGACAACAGATACCACTGTTAGAACCTCAGCAGACAAGGGTGAAGAGATCAACAGCTATTTCTTGAACCCTTCTTTATTGTCATCGGACTGTTCACCAGCGGCCTTGAAAAAGAAAACCGAAGACATGAGTGACTTCCCCTCTGAGAGCCAGCGAAGCGTACCGCTCGCCGTGACCGATGCTTTAGAGCATATCATGGAACAGCTCAATGTACTGACACAGGTGGGTCAGCACGCTTTGCATGTACTTAAGGGCTAGTGAAACAATCCTGGTTACCGCAGGTTGCAGAACTCGCAGGCAGGGGCAATTCTTTTTTCTCAGAAAGGCACGCTCGGGGTGGCCATCCAGATAGCAAGGCCTGCTCTGCTGGACTGCAATAGTAAGGTACTACAGAGGGCAGAGCAGAGCCCACACGTGTGTGCGCACGCGTGCCCTGGTGCTATATCAGGCTTCTGGAGGCCAGAAGGAACAGCGGAGACTATGAAGAATAGCACTGGTCCTCCATGCTATAAAGGTATTTGATTCTGCTCAGTAGCGCTTTACCCTAAGGTTTTTGATGTAGTGTGTTCAGATTAGGACATTGTCAAGGAAATATTTAGGGCCATAGCAAAATGATGAACAGTTTCTGGTTAGAATGAAATTGTGACAAAGTTTATAGTTCTTCACTCTACAGATCTCCTCACTGTCCAAGATGTAACTTTCCTAATTTCAAAGCTTTTTACATTGCCTCAGTGTTCTCTTGGAGGTGATAGTTTTTGCATTCTTGTTTTAGAAATCACCTTGTCCTTTGATGCCATTTTACATTTGCAAAGAAGGTATACTGTGGGTCTTCATATACCAAGGGTCTTCCAACTCTCCATCAGGAGATAAAGATGTCATTTAAGGGAAGTTATGTGTTGCGATAACTCCTCCAACTCTGTGGATTAAGTGTTTCCTTGGAAGAAGTCTTATTATTCCTCCGATACACAGAATGGGCAGACCTTGTTATAAGTTATACAGAAAGAGAGGCTATAATGTGAACTGGAGAGATGTCAATTACTTTTCCATAATACATATTTTGAGTTGGAATAGCTCTCACATAGAAATCCTCTCATTCTGTTCTCATCACTGCTGCACATTATAATCACCTGGGCAGTTATAAAGCATACGGATGGCCAATTCTCATCTCCAGAGATCCATTGACATTGGTCTGGGGTAAGGGCCTGTCATTTGTCTCTTAACCCAGTATGACTCTGTTTTATAGCCAGGGTTTAGAACCACTAATTAAATGGATACTAAAAACCCACAAATAACATCTCAGGGCCTTTAGAGGCAAGGGGCATGTATGTGGTTTGGGGGGTCCTGTCAGAATGTGGGAAAGAGCCATGTGAGAACTTGGAGTCATCATATGATTTGTTCAGTGAAAATCATATTTAAATCACCAATTTTTATATTGTAATACTGTGCTGGAGGTGACTTTCTCTGTGTTTATCAGACATTTCTTTCCTTTAAAGGCAGTTTCCCCTTTGGCCTCATGCCAGATTTAGTATCGGTTGGCTTATTCCCCATATTGCCACAGCTTCTTCACCTATACTGTTGTGTTTGATGTCGGTCATTCTTAGAGACTCTTCCAAATGAATCTGTCCATAGCCTCATGACCCATCTCTCCTTTTTACCCAATTCAAAGTTAAATGAACCACTTTAGCTTTATTCACTGTCCCTTTTAATTTTGAAAGGCTGGCTTCCTTTTTACAATTAAGAGGTTAAAAGCAAGCCCAACACACTTGCAAAATAGAAACACTGAATCTGTGGGCAAGTAGCAAGTAAAATAAACATGTTCTGACGCACTTTAATTACAGATGACTGAACATCGCCTAACTTAGTCTCTGTGTTTATAACCTATCTGTACTGAGCTATAATTAGAAATAAATTAAAATAAAATTACATTTATATGGTAGATAAATGGAGTTAACTTGTGTTCAAGGTGTTGCTAATATACATATCAACAGCTTTAGCATGTGGGATTGGGATAATGTGTATAAAATATATGGCAAAACGCTTGGCCCATATAGGTACTCAAGAAATGGTAAAAAAAATATTATCAGCATCATTTTTAATTAGTCATAATCCATAGTATGGACTATAAAAGCAAAAGCTGGTAAATAATGATTTTTAAAAAATGTTTGCCTTCAGAAGGTGATAGGGAATCAGCTCATTGCCTTGAAACTTGTTGACTAAAATGACCAAGCATTTATTTTGCCTTTCCTATATGAACTCTAGTACTAGACAGCCAAGTAGTAGATGAGGAAAGGGTCTCTTATTAACAAATTACCGTAACTAGTACTTTTTTTGAAGGATGAGATTAGAATATCATCATTTATAATCCTCACGAATTAATAGATTCAGGCACTGAGCAATTCCCAACATGAGAAAAGAAATCAAACCTTATTGACATATCTTATAACAAAATAGAGCACTACCTATAGTCTTATCTATAGATCTTGGTAGATCTATAGTCTTAAAGATCTAGTACAAGTCTACTAAAGCCTTTGAATCCAGCTGCAATGTATAGAACAGGCAGAGAACCAAATAGACCAGACTGAACCCTTAGCGTGCTCCTCTTCACATTCAGGCTGGTGGAAGCACTACAGGCAGACTCTACTCAAAATGGCCTGAGTCTATCAACAAATTATAAAGAAAAAAGGGAGAGGGGATGAGAAGCTGTAGGTTAAAAGGAACTTTAAATGACGTATCAAACTTTGCAAATGGGTAAGACAAAATTACAGTGTCAAGGGACACACACCTGAAAGATAAAACCATAAAGAGACGCAAGAAAGTTACTTGGTCAGGAATGCAGCTGTTCTCGCAGGAGGGCAGGAGTGCGGACTCGGCAAGGCCCCTGGGAGTAACTCCTTGGCAGAGTTCCAGTTCTTGACCTAGTTATGAGGCTGCTTTTCTCATGAGAATTCATTAAGGGACATGTGTTCTGTGCAGCTTCCTGAATCCATTTTATTTTAGAATAAAGAGTTTATAGGAAATATAAAAGATTGAAGATAAAGTAGTCAATATCACAAAAAATTGGATTTGCCACATTTAAAAGTAGCCATTAGTGTGTGTGTGTGTGTGTGTGTGTGTTTGTGTCTGTGTGTGTGTGTTTGTGTGTGTGTGTGTATACACATGTGTGTAGTCAGAAGCTCATTTGTTAGCCAAAGGGGTTAAAATAGCTAAGATTCACCAAGTCCTGTGTGCCGGGCACTGGCATAAGCATTTTCCGTGCATTATTTTATCCTGTCTTCCTAACACCCCAGGAGGTGCCGTTATCATTTTCAGGCTGTAAGAACTGATGCCAGTCATTGTAATATTTTCAAAGTAAACTAGGTGTCCAGCTCCCTGGGGTGGCATAGCTATGGTCCATCATGGATTGATCATGCCAGAATGACCAGCGATGACATTTAAGGAGCCCGTGGGCTGGGCAGGTGGCATTCCGCCTCCACCCCCGACACTGCCATATAGCACGAGAGCCCGCTTAGAATGGTTCATGTGGCCTCTTCCCTGGCATTGGTGCTTTAGGAGGCCAGACAAGAATGGTCTACAAAGGCCTCATCTTTTACTCTCTTCTCCCCAAAGGCATCAGATTTCTTCTTCCTCAAATTGCTTGCTGGTGCTTTTTGCCCCACGGTAGAGCCCAAAAGCTGAACAAACTCTGGGGTTCACCTTTGAGCCCCTTCCTGGCAAAAGGGTGGACATTCCAGTTCCTAAAAGGAACCCTCTGCAGAGATGACCATCACCGTCCTCACCATCAGGTCACCAGGCATTGATTATTTTGTCCTCTTTTTACAGACTGTTTCAATCTTGGAGCAGCGACTGACTTTGACCGAGGATAAGCTGAAAGACTGCCTTGAAAATCAGCACAGGCTTTTCAGTGCTCTCCAGCAGAAAAGTTAAATAGAAAACTATGAGCAGAGGCATGATAAATGAACACATGTACATAGTCTCTGGAAGGTAGCACGAGATGCTTCCTTCATGCAACACAACCGTGTACTGATTATCATGATCATGACGTCTCTTAAAAGGGTGAGCAACAGAACCAAAGGCAGAAAAGGTATAATTAACGACCAATTTAAACACACAAATCAATGTCAAGGACTAATTCAAATCATTACCATTTATGATTGCAGTAATAAAGTGATAAGTATTCAAGTGGCTCTATATTTTCCCCCATATTATTTTAAATGCCAGTTTTCAGTTCTAGTCCAAATCCTGCCAGGACAGTAACCAAATCTTTGAATTTCATTGTTAAATCATTGCAGTTGATCACGTTCAGGCAATTCCTTAAAGCGATGGATGTGTTTCTTTAGCGAGCAACACCCTTGGGGTGAAGTAATACAGTTACCTCTGGAACAGCATCCTGTGTGCAGGGAATGAGTTAGTAGTCTGACTCCTATTTCTTTTAGCTCAAAAACATTCATTAATACTTTCTTAACAATGGCCCTGAAATGCTGATCTTATAAAATTCCCAAAGCGTAGAATTTCCACAGCAGGAACACACTTATTTTAATTAGCGACAGCAGATACGTGGCACAGGGCAGCGGATGCTTACTTAACTTACAGTGTACATGGCTTGTCCTTTGCTCAGCCTGAAAGAAAATGAAGAGCTAAAAATGCATGAAGCTCACACATCTTTCATCTCGTAGATGAGTGCACTGAATGATTTGGGTCGTGTCCAGACCCAAGTTGACAAAGCCAGCGTTAGAGTGATTTCAGTATGCTCTGAAGCTGGAAAGAAGCAACAGTAATATTTACAAACACACAGGTACATTCACATGCCTCAGAAATGCTGCTTAGGGCGATTTTGGTGGCTGAGTAATAAGTACATATACTGTTCACATGATTGTCTTCCTATTTTTTTTTAATGAATTGTGATTTAAAACAAAATAAAAATGAGACTGACATTCTAAAAAATGCTTAGGGTGATTTGGTTACAAAGTAAGAATTTTGTTTTATCTAAGACGAGATTAAATTGAAGAAAACCCGATTAATATTAGCTTGCTTTTCTATTAACCTAAATCAAGAACAAAGCAGGTGGGAGAGGGCAGTCACATTTATGCTGTCTGTAGGTAACATGGGGGAAATTTTTGAAAAAGAAGAAAAAAGTCAAGTCCTATTTATTTAGGAGTCTCTATTTATAAATTTTTTCACAAGGAATTTTAATCATATCTATAAGGTGGTTTTTAAAAAAATCATCTCATTGTGTGTTTTAAGTGCCTTTTTATATTATACTAAGTGTGAACTTCTAGACATTTTCAAGAGTTTATAAAGACTAAGTGGTATTGTATTTTTATAACCTTATTCAAAAGACTAAGAAATGAAATGTCATAATGATTTTTGTTTACAATTTCTTAAGCTTCAAACAATAAAGACGCTTTACCTTTAAAACAAGTTGTTCCTTTCTTTTTAAATGATTAAACCTTGAAACACTAAACTTCTTATCCAGCTCAGGCACCTTTAATTGTGTATAACAATCTCCTGGAGCATTTGTCGAAGTTTCCTGGGCCCTGTCCGCTGTGTGTACGACTCACCAGGTTGGGTAGGACCCAGACATCTGCAGCTCGAAGAAGCCCACAGGTGGTGTAGACGCTGGTTGGCCTAAGGCCCACACTCCAGAAGCCAATGGTGGAGCTGTAGCCACTTCTTACAACACAGTGATGCCATGTAGTTTTACAGTCGTCACAGACCTCTGGAAGGGGTCTAAAAGCAGTGATGATATAAATTAAAATGCCTTGAAACTTGTTCAAGAGGGTCGTTTATAACCCCTCCCCCCCTTTTTCTAAGCTTCTAATCAGTCTTCATCTGATTTCCAGCCTCTCACCTGTCCTAACCTGTATATTCAACTGCCTCATCAGCTGTTTATTCAACCGCCTGTTTATTCCGCACCTCCACTTGGAAGACGCGTAGGCATTTCTGAATGTGTCTGAAACTAAACTCTGCTCCCCCAGCCCCCAGCCAGCAACTCCCTGTCTCCGCATCTCTCCTGGCAGGTGCTCAGCCGAAGACCTCAGAGTTCTACTCGCCTCCTTCTCACCCCTCACATTCCATTCCTTCAGCAGATTTCGTCTCCATCACCTTCCACGGCCCAAGCCACCGTCGTCTCTGACCTGGACAACCCCATGTGCCTCCTGGCAGGCTGCCGGCTGCCCTCCCCGCAGAGTGGGCCAGGGTGGTCACTGAAAGGCGAGTTTAAATGTGTGGCTGTTCTGCTCAAACCCTTTCAGTGCTTCCCATCCAACCGGAGTCAGAGCTCAAGTCTTGACAGTAGTAATGTGACCCCTGTCCCCTCCTCGTGGACCTGCTCTCCCTTCTGCCGTGGATCATCCTTCCTCCCTGCCCTCCGGCCATAGTGGCGTCTATGCCTTTGAAGAAGTAAAACCGCTCCCGCCTGAGGGCATTTGTACTTGACACTCACGCTGCCTGGAGCTCTCCGTCCCCTCAAAACTCGTCAGTCCCGCTCACAGGCCGCCTTTTCAGAGGTGCCCTCCCTGAGCACCAGGTGTGAGATCCTTCGCTTCCACCCATTGCCTGCGTGCCTCTGGTCCAACGTAGACGGCAATACAGGTGCCATTCTGCCTCTTCCGTGGCGGCTCTGCCTTCTCAAAAAGGAAGCGCTGTCATCCTCAGATTCCGCACCAAGCACGTCGCCTCATTCACAGGAACTCAGCAGATACTTGTAGAGTAAATGAGAATTTTCATTTTTTTTGAGTGTTTTTAAAACATTTGTTGTTCAATCCACTCCCAGCCCAAAGAGTGGACTGGAAGAAATAGCCTAGGTAACAATTTAGATGCTTGATGTTTGGGGCAGAGGGGGCCCCCGTTGCTCTCACTTGCTGTTTGTTGCATAGCTAAATAGTGTGACCTTCAGGAAAGGCACTCACAGAGCTTCGTTTCCTTACCTATAAAAGGTGACAATAATAACTGAACTACGTTTGTGAAATGATTGGCACAGCAGCTGTCACAGAGTGAAGGGCTCAATAAGTGGTAGAAATTATTGCTACTTATTAATCATTTTGTTTCCCCAGACTGCATTTCCAAATAATTTGATTTCAACTGTAACTGTTGGAAGGATACACGTATTATGTGGTAATGAATGGAAGTGTGATATTTAATACAAAATTAACGTTGTAGTAAAAGTACAACAAAAAGAATAAATGCGTAAAAGAAAGTAGCCTTCCATACACAGAAAACCTCCAGGTTCAGGCCGAAAGCTAAGCTCTGAGCAACTTCAGAGGAATTCAGCCTGAGACGATGGATGCCATAATTACCCTAATAAAGGCAGGGCAAAAATGGAAAGTGGGAGAAGGGCCTGGAATGTGAACCAGTAAGTGGCAGTAAGACCAAAACTTACCCGCACCGCATACTGTCCTTGCCCTCTGACATATGGAGAACAAGTATTATCTGCTTTCTGACTTTAAAGACAAAGCAGTCCAGATCTTCACTGAACATTTCATTCACGTGGGGAGCAACCTTGGTTTTTGTTGTTCCCGAGATAAATTCTGTGCATCTAACAGGATTTGAAAGATGAACCCTCTATCCCTGGGTAAAAGTATTTGCATAAATGGATTTTACCCAAAGAAAGAAATGATTCCAATATTTGGAGGTTATTGATGAATATAACTAATAATAAATATAGATGGGTCTCGAATAGATATTTAAGTGGAATTAATATCTCCAATGCGTTGTATTCCTCATATTCCACAATGTTTTTGCCTTATGAGGTCACGAGGTTTTAGACTCCATGCACCAGAGGATTTATGAATGTACACTGAATCTAGGAGCACAGTGTAATTGCTGGTTTGCCCTGCATAAGCCCCAACTGTGACTCAGTCAGGTAACACAGTGGCAGCTTGGGCTTACTAGGAAAATAGGTCGGTGTCTTGCCGAGAGGCGGAGGTTAACGGGGGTGGACAGGGTGTGCACAACCACTTTTTTTCTTTGCAAAGTACAAAAGTTGCATTTTCTGTTCAAATTTCAGACATGTTCCTAGTAAAAATCAAGGCTCTGATTTGCGATTCTTCTCATAATAAAGTAGGTTCCTCAACAAAAACAATAGGAGAAATAGCCCAATCATGTAAAATTTCTAAATTTACAAAGCAAACTACGTGATGGGAAAGAATTGACAGAAATGCAACACAAAGAATATCTACTGTTCAGAAGTAGAATTTTTTTTTTCTATTTTTTAATGTTTATCTACTTTTGAGAGAAAGAGAGAGACAGAGATGTGAGCAGGGGAGGGGCAGAGAGAGAGGGAGACACAGAATCTGAAGCAGACTCCAGGCTCTGAGCTGTCAGCACAGAGCCCAACGCGGGGCTTAAACTCACGGACTGCGAGATCATGACCTGAGGTGAAGTCAGACACTTAACTGACTGAACCATCCAGGTCCCCCGTAGAAGTAGAACTTTATTAATCCATGGTAACAGTGTTATGCAAAACTAATAAGGCAGGCTTAACATACATACAAAGAATTACATGAAAATGTAAGCAAATTTTCTTTTTTGTCCAAGTGTATTTTTAAACAAAATTTGACCATGTTCTGGACTACATGATATAAGGTAAGTTACAATTCCATATATCCAGAGAATAAATCATAAAATTAGGAATAACAAAATAAAATGTTCAATCATACAGAAAATATGAAAGAGAAAACTTAAACTTCACAAAATAATATTTGGGCCAGTGAAGAAACCCCAACACGTAGTGGAGAGCATTTTTAAATGCAAATAGAAACGAATCTGTCAAATTAGGTGGGATACCACCGAAACGATGAAGGTGTGAACCAAGTATCTTCCGAAAAATGTAAGGAGTGATCATAATAAAGCGAAAGGAAAATGAAACAGTTCAAATAAAAACTGTGAAAAATAGTTGGCCCTTTGAAAAGTTTAAAGTTAATCATTAACCAAAGGGGGAAAGCAAGCTTGTTTTACTGCCAAAGGAATCAGAAAAAACATGGCTAACTCAGAATTGGTTCATTTGCATTATGAATGAACATTTTTACAGTAAATGTCAGCCACAAATCAGAGTGAAAAAATGGGAGAAAGGAATGTGATAGATGTGATTTATGTAATTGTTTATTTCACAGTTTTTTCATGACTCTTGAGTAGCAGTGCCCATGCGCTTTTTATCTGGCCTTGTGTTGACAGGTGATGGG